GAGTAATTTTTGTTGACATATGTATTTTATTTATTTATTTGATTTTGATTTCATTTAGCCCGATTTGGCGCCTTCATTCATTCATTCATTGTTCTAATTTAACGTCCTATGCGGTATCTATATACAGAACCATAAAGACGGTAAGCCATGTTAGGAAGGGAAAAAGCTTTCAACAAAACAAAACCCGATGTTCTGCCACTCTGAACCGACCCGGCTTAATGCTGAGGACGTTCCTTTCAACCACAAATTTATAAACTTTCCCCCGAATTCGTTAACTCCCCCTTCGATCAGACTAACGTTATGAGAAATTAAAAAGAGAAGGCACCTCCTCACTCGGTGTTGGTCTTCGAAGTGTTCGAAGAGTTGGCCCCGATGGTGGTGCTGCTGTCGAGGCGATGGTTGGTGCCACTGGGGCTTCGACTACCTTACGCGGTCGTCCTGGCCCTTTTTTGAGTCCTTCAGCCTTTTTACTGGTGACCGAAGTGAGTCCTTGGTCGTCGGTCGTTCCGACTATTCGTGTTGGCGCCATGGTGATTTTTCATTCCATATTTCTGCCGTCCTCGATAACAGCTCCATCCGAGCCTTCTCCAAACTACCCTTGTAGACCTGGTAGGTCCGACACGCTGCTTTCTGCCATGAACGATGTTCCTTGCCGCAGTTGGCACAAGAAACCCTTTTCCTCGGACAGTCCCGAGTTTGGTGAGCACCAGCGCACTCACCGCACCTAGCTGCCTTTCCACACGACGCCTGCGTGTGTTCCCATTGGCTGCAGTTGTAACACTGCTTTAGCTGAGCCCGTGGCGACCATACCTGCGCGGTGAAGAGCATGGCGTTAATAACAAGGCCCTGTCGAACTACCTCCGTTTGCATTGCCTCCGATGGGAGGCTGACCACAATTGAACCACGATTGCGACCGTTTTTCTTCGATCGCTGATGTTCCTTTCCATCATGTAGCCATCGTATTCTGCTAATTACCAGGCCTGGAATACGTGCCTTGGTCGCCGTCTCAATCTCCCTGATGATGGCGTAGTTGTTGGCATCTCTGCCACCCTCAATTCTTGTCCGCAGTGGGACTCCGGAAACCTCGACAGGAAAGTCTTGCCGCAAAATTTTAAAGTCCGTTGGTTGCCGCATATTAAGCGCCGCGTCTCTCTGGGACGCCGACTGGACAAACACCTCGGTGTCGTTGCTTCGCATCTGTCGAATTGCAAATGCGCCTTCGATATGTTGTTGTGCCTTTGACAGCAGCTCTTGTGGCTGCAAGTTTTGTGCGCCATCGATTCTTATTCTTACCGCTGTTTTCGTCATTTGCGGAGCCACGACCGACGCGTAGCTCCTTTGTGTCGGCGCGCCCGAAACCACTGCTGGTGCAGCTTTTCGAGCGGGATCCGCGAGGCTCTTTTTGACAACCTCCTCGAGCGCCATCATCCTCTCCTGGATAGGAAACATCTTCTGGTTCATTTCCGTCTAGGCCCTTTTATGTGCGTTGAAGGCCTTCACGGCCTCGTTCACATCCTCCATTGAAGGTAAGTCCTCCTCATCCATCCCTCCCATCACGATGAGTCTAACCTGTTTCAATAGTTTCCCAAGGATTCAAAGGTTTCTATCCTTAGGAGCTGTCCGCGCTCCGCTGCCGTTGTTTGTTGGGGCCATTGTCGCATTTTGCGACGCGTCGAAACCGCTGGATTTACCCACACCAGCACCCACACTCGCCATGTTAGAGCACGGAAAGCGATAAGATGTAAGGAGGGTAATGAAGATGTAAAAATAATTATCACAATTTCAAATTGGTGATACGGGTAGCGTGGAACGCTGCGCAGCTTTCTGGCAAAAATGATGTTTTTTTCGATATAGACTCAAATAAATGTGAAAATCTTCTCATTGTGTTGAAAACCGGATTTGGCGCCTTAAGGCCCATGCAGGTGTCTACGAACTCAATCATTTAAATAGGAGGAAACCTTTATGGTAAAAACCCCCTCAACTTTTCAATTTATATACACTTTTAAAGTTGTGTTACCTTCAAGAAGTGCACTAATACTGTTATATCCAGTGCGGATACCGTCCACTCCCTTATTTATGGCAGGAAATCAATTCCCCCTATAGCCCAGTCGGGACAGGCCATGATCATGTGCTTGACGTTCTGGGACGGATATCCACATTGGCATTGTGGGCTGTCTACTCTGGGAACATGTCTTCTGTGCAGGTAAGAATTGAACCCTATGTGCTCACTTCTTAGCTGTATGGCTATGCTACTTTGGTTCCCTCAACCATTATTATTCACGAAAGAGATAACATAAAAAATATTTGGCTACTCTAACATGCCTTTGTCATTGTCGCCGGATCAATTGGTGTTGGTACACAGCAGAGCAAGTTCAGAATAAATCAGTTAATTAATGAAATCTCGAGATAGAAGAATTCCTACTTCTCGCTGTATATACAGGGAATTGTACGTATCAGCGCCTCTCATAATAATCCATGTTGCTAAGCAACCACATCTAGACCGCAAAATTGGTAGCCCCCGTAGCTACCTAGGCCCTTTATTTCATCCCTGACGTACGGACGCAGACAGCACAAACCCAACGAATTAATCTCGTAACAGTCACTCTTTATGTAGCCGCCGCAGGTGGTGCGGCTTTTCAGCTTTTACTTTCTCCACTGAGGTAGGTGTCCAGGTTACCCAGACTTTAATTCGGAGAGATGAGGGCCAGGAGGCGGACCAAAATACCTTTTATCGTTGCTTGTTTTCAAAATGTTGATTGCACTATCCGAAATCGCAGCATCGGCGCTCACAAGCCCTCCAAAGTCGAAACACTCGAAAATCATGCATCCCATAGTGCCCGTTTGTGACTCCTTCACTTGTTCGTCCCACGTCTCCGCTGCCTAATACCCCTCAAGGCGTGAAGCCCCATCAGAGCAACGGTCCCCTACAGACCAAGACCCGAGCTTTGTATATTATGACTTAGTTTCTCATTCGCGAGTGTATATTGCATCCTGGCTTCGAAGTGGGAATTGGCCGATTTTTTAAGGTGCAAATGCCCGATTGCAATTGGAGTAACGCCATAATTGGTAGTTGAGCCGAGTTAATTTGCGGTATGAGTAAGTTGAAGGGCTCGCATGAGAAGGATAGGTCCGAACCTGACGAGAAGTCGCCGAATTTAGAAATACCTCAGATTCCTGTCGACTTTGATTCGGATACAATTCTTCTTGGCTATCAAAGATATGTAAAGCTTACTGAGCGATTACACCGGCACCACCGGGAGGTAAAGATCTCGCCTTCGCAAGCTATGTTTGTTGAAGCTGTTCTGAAAGTTGGACACCACCACCTTCTCATCCCTGTTGATTACTCAGCGCCACTCACCCGCTCTTTCCTGGAGTATCGTTTTTTATTTTATTTGCATCAGATTTTTATTGCGTTTGCAGCTATCTAGCTATGACACAATATCAAAGAAAAGTACAGAATAGATGACTCAGTATAAAAGAAAAGCACTCATGCCTCGAATTTCATTTGCATGCAATGTAATGACGCTGCAGTCTACTAATTAGTAGTACCATTTATTTCATCATCATATCCCCCCCATGCATCAATATCGTTAGGATTCTCTATATCAAGCTTAGGTATCTGCCTACGCTCAAACAAGGGTCAAACTGTAACACTTTACTTGCTCCTGCGGATATTAATATCGGCATGGGCGTGTGTAAAGTGACATGCTTAGGCTAGAGAAGGTCTATAAGAGGTTAGATCATCGGAATGAGGATGTACTTGGTCATACTTGTACATTTATTGAGACTTAGGTGGGAATCCATCTCGTTGGGAGTGAATATTTGACATATTAGAGTATTTTGAAACAATGCCCCGTGGATCAACTTCTATTGTATTGCGAAATTTGACTGAATTTGGCATTGGCAGGATAATTCACTGTCAGGTTCGTAGAGAATACCGCGTACAGGTATTCAATCTTGCCCTTATGGAGCACCCATTAATGGTTCAAAAAAAGTGTGACGATGCAAAGAGCTATTGTGCTGCTCTGTCAGGTGACCTCAATGCGTATATAATGTGGATTTGTCCATCATTTTCAACTTCATCAGTTTCCTCAATCCTCACCTCGGCTTCAACTTGTAACTACCCGTCCTTAACAAATTAACCCTTCCACACCATCTCCCTGCGATATGTCTCAATATTCGGAAATTTTCGCAGATCAAAACAAGGTCTCAATCGGACACATTTTCAAGCAGTTTCGCAACAACTACGTGCCAGAAGATAAAAAATATAGTATCAGTCACCTACAAGCCAGGTAACTTCAGCTAACGGAATAGGTGTCTTGAAATACTTTGATGATTTATATCAATACACGTTTCATTTAGATGACAATGACATGTTCAAACTAAGTGACCTGTTTCGTGATACCGAGACGGCAATTCAAAAGAATCTAGTTGCAATCAAAATTTTTGATCAACTTATTGAGGACATCTTAGATGAGGATGATTTAAGTCATATAATAGAAATTACCGTTCGCCTAGCTGAAACCACGTGTCACGATGTGACTCTCCTTCAGAGCAGTGGACAGCTTCCATCGGTATTAAGTACCTGCGCCAAGACCATCAAGCGAGATACATCAGAGGCATCAGGTTTTGATAAGACCGCAGCTTATCTCGCCAAAGCTGTCCAGTCCTAACTTCAAGACAATGTTTTCTCAGGTATCTCAAACTTCTGGGATGTGTTTTTCGAAGGAAAAGCTTGGTCCAAGCAGACCTCACGCATTTGGGAGTGTTACACATCTTACGAAAAAGCCGAGGAATGTGAAAGAACGAGAACAAATCAGAGTATTATAACTTTGAAAGAAGAAATGACTGAGACACAAGTGTGGGAATGGCTTGATTTTTTCAGGGAGAAATTTTTAAATCAGCTAAATGGGCCCATAGAAGAACCATTGAAGAACTGCAAAGTCATTATAGAAGCGAACGGGCCCCAACTGCGAGGGCAGTATTGCGACACAAAAGTTATGAAAAGCACTGTCAGTACGGCAGCTAACGCTCAAGTTGACTTCCTTATTCATAGTATCGAACTATCTGATGATAAGCCTGAATGGAAAGACGTGAAGGTGGTCGCCGAGTTCACGAAACAGACTGACACAAGTGCAAGAAAAGCAAAATTCACTCAACTATCGAGGTATGTGCGTGAAATATTTTGTGCACAACCCTTGCGGCGATTTGTACATTGCTTTTTCTTCTTGAAAACAAAATTTGAACTCTGGATATTTGATCGAACGGGCGCATACAGCTCTGGCTTAAAAAGCATCATCATTGAAAAGGAACTGTTCGTACGAGCCATAAGCTCTTACTTGCTAATGACTGACGAAGATCTTGGCCTTGACTTGTCTACTAGTCAGGTCGGCGAAAATACATTTGTCACAATAAAAGGAAGTAATGATGATCCCACCTTACAATTTCAAATCGAGCCTAAGCCGATTATTCGACCGCAGAAACTAATTACTCGTGGTACCACCTGCTTCGAGACTGAGGACAAACTATCAGTGGTCAAGTATGCTTGGACCAGCGTGAAGGGGTGTTCGGAAATCGACTTTCTCAAAGTCGCACTTCCGGTACGCGGTGTCGTCAATTATATAACATCAGATGAAATATATCGGAAAAGTGACCACTTGGGAAGCTTAGATTTTACCGATGTTGACGCTTGGGACCTGAAGACAGAGACGTTTATCATATCAAGGGGTACGCACTTGATGCAACCGACTGTGAACCCATGCAATAGAGATCGTAAACTCATCAGGATTGCTATTGCACCTCGTGGTCAACCCCTGAAGACCAGCAAGACGACCCTTGAATTTGTTGTCGGGATTCGGGATGCAATCTTGGGCCACCGACGCTTGTATGATCAAGGTATTCTACACGGCGACATCTCGGAGGGCAATATAATTTTGACATCACCAACTGCAAATGATGAATCAAAGGGGATGTTGATTGACCTGGACTACTCCGTCGGGCTAATCGAAAGTCTGAAAACGGACGATGAACTGTCTCTAACAGGCACCATGAAATTCATGGCTATCGAAAGATTAGTAAATGCGGTAGAAAAGGAGCCCACAATCCAGCGTACTATTCGGCACGACTTGGAATCCTTCTTCTATGTATTCCTTGTAGGATGCATAGAATTTGAAGTTGTCCCTGAGTCCAAATCATTCAACCTTGACAGCTGGTGCACAAAATATTTAAATAGTAACTGTGTAACTAAGATAGGATATATCTCTGCTTTCGAAACCTTTGTTTTAAAGAAATTCACACCAAGCTTTTTAGGCCTGAAGGACCTAGCAAAGAGCCTTAGAACGATTTTATTTGGTAAACATGGCCACAACTTTACGACGCCTTACGACTGTAGCTTAATGTACAATGAAATGATTGAGGCGTTCAATAAAACTATTGAGCAGATTACAGGTAAGATAGATTTTCGATGAAGCAAGAGTTTAATTCCCCTTGACACAAGACTCACTGAAAAATCGTCAATAACTTAGAAAGATCAATGTTAAATAATACTTTCAAGTCACGAAAGCGATAGAGCACGGTATGAGTGGGTCACGAGAAAAAATTTAAAGATTTTCCCTGTAAGCAGTAAGGTTCCAATATGAATTATAAGGTTGGTCTTTGTATTCTATTGAATTTACCATCAGACGAGAAGGTAGTTGTGATTGTTTTTGGAAATTAGAATGGAAAATCTTAGTGTAAGCCTGTTTAAACCCGTGAAACGCTGCTGGAATAGATTAGGTGTAGCGTCGAACCGTCTATTTCTTGTATGTTTCTGTTAAATAATCACAATAATTTATGAATATCTTTCAAGGAGTCCATGTGAAAATCTTGTTAGAAATGGGAATAATTTGGGCTATTTACTAGTTGTGAGGAAATTCTATTCAGTCAACTTGTTGTTATTGTTGTAAAGTGTGTATGGGTTCTAAGAGGAAACTCACTCAAAGAATATAGGCACAGCTTCAAAGTACTTCGTAGTAGTTCAATCAAATAAATTATTCACGTAAATCGTTCTTATTATTATATTATTTTTTTTTGGTCAGAATGTTAAAGAATGCTACATCTAGGTTTCTACATATTACTCGTGTTCTTTGTCTGACGCTAAAACCAATTTCAGTCTAGTGCAATCGTGCGCCAAGTTATTCCTAAGCAGCCTTGCCGATCATCACCGACAATTGTTTAGCTCTAGAGTAAGCAACTGGTGCGAAATTCCAACAGTTATAGTGAAAGTTGTCCGAATCAACAGTAGATATTACAACTTAATTATTCCGTATTCACTGAATCACATATACTTTCTTCATTCAGCATATATCACTCTCCTTGTTATCATATTCTCGTGACTCTACTTTTTCAATATGCCCACATTAGGCCACTTCGTTCACACAACGTGACTACAAAACTAGTGTTTAGTTTCACTTAAGTGGTAGTTTCAATGGTTTTGACCTGAGTTGCTGGGCAGCGCCAAACAACCTGTAGATAATCTTGTTGTAATTTTTCACGGTCTTGCACTTGTCACACTGGTCATGCATTATCTCATTTTGGTTTCAATATTCGTATTATGTAATATAGAGTCACTTCAATTTTAAGTAATATTACTTACTATTGGCGCTTATCTTGAGATATATTGGAAGTTGTCGCAACACTATTTTGGGATTGACTTGAGTCAGGAGAGAGATCACAATAAGTCGAATAAAATATCATAACATCTAAATAAAGAATCACCTTTATTAAAGATTGTTAATCTGTATGCAATTGAAATACAAGATTAAAGCGTCATTTGCTATATTCGAGTCATGCATATGTTATTAGATAGATTCCCACCTGCCTTTGCATAATTCCGCTAGTGTTTGTATTTTGTATTTTGTCATTACAATCGAGTCACTTAATCTCCTATTAAACCGCATTAATTTTACTATGCTTGGTTATACTTTCCACTTATAATTTGCTATTAAGGGAACAAACAGGACCAATTTCAGAACCATGTTAAGGAGGGAAATACGAGCTGTTTGCATAAATAATTGTAATTATTGGGCTATATCTGAATTTTGGGAGGAAATTATGAGAATAATCTAAAGATGTATTTAAGAACTAAGATAGCATCTTCAGAAAGGACAATCAATTCAATCAACTTGTGAAAGATTCACATTAGAATAACTTTGCCTCACACAATATGCAGATAGTTAGTTACTCACGTGGATTGGTGCAGCTTGGCGTGTCGCCCATGTGGCAGACAGGACCGCAAGTTGGAGGACGAAGGCTGGACACCTGTCAGTGGTGTCTTCTACGAACCTGGGAGTGATATATTCTTCCAGAACCGAGATTCAATCACGAGAAAGGGCGAAATGGAGAGTTTTCGTCGAGTTGGCGATCCGGAGGAATGGTAATGGCTTATTTTTGGTCGAAAACCCGACTTGCAGAGATTTCACGACTGCACAACTCAACGAAATCAATAATCTACACCCCAGATACGAAACGCAGACAGCCCATAATCTATCTCATGTTCGTATCACAACAACCGACACCTTCAAGATCTTATTTTCTTGACTCTAGAAAATTATTCTCAGCCAAACTCATCTCGCGGCCCTCTCCACAATCATCTCACCACCTACCGAAGCAATCCCTTACCTCCAAAAGTCAAATTGTCGTTAAAGAAGTAAAAAGATGTCTGACCCCCCACAACTGCCAGTCGCTGTGAAGGTACAGTCGAAATACCGGCCTTAAATGCGTCCTCACCTCGGCCAAGGGTACCAAAAACCCGACCTGCGACGAATCGCCACCGACGAAATACGTACGGCATTTCGCCGACACACCAACTAAAGCATTCGACAAAGGCTGGGGCACCGGTGCCTCGGTCTTGGGCTCTCAGTCGCGTTTTCGACCTCCACGGTTAGGGGTACGGCAGCGACGGGGCAAGACCGGAAGGGCGGAAATTCTACAAAGTTTCTGGGATAACTAGATCAGTTGAAAGACGGAGTGATGCAACATGAAGAAACTAAAGGGAATACAAACTGAGGAGGCCTTGGTGGGCGACTATATGAGGCCTCCAATGAAGAATACAACCCCTGGATGAGATGAGAGATGCTGAGATGAGCCAAAGTTGGGAATGAATGGAAGGGAAAAGTTACAGATGGCGAAGGTGTCAAGGGCTCGGGCGCGTGGTGGTCGAGGCTGAGATGGAATTTGGGCTTCGGCGCGCCAAAAGGGGGTTCTCTGGACGGTTGGGCTTGACATGATTCAACACATTGGTGAAGTCTGAGGTGGTCCGGTCATTTAGGTGGGACGAGGCACTTGTACTTCACGGTATTTAAACTGATCCGGCCTGTTAGAGTATAGAGAAGACTTCGGAGTAAGAATTGCCTGAGAACGGAGAAGAAGTTCAGTTTGCTTAGTTGACAAATAGACTACAGGTATTATGATATATAAAGTGGAATTACAAGGAACAAAAATAATCCGGAACCGACTCGACTGCAGAAATAAATGGGACCCCAGACCAGAAAAGAATTATCCAATGACTCAGAATACTGGGCCATGCAATAGAAATACAAATAAACCAATGACTGGATTTGTTCGGGAAGAATGGGATTCTAGCAGACTAAAACTGTGAATCCGATTGAATAAGAAGTATGGGCTCCTGCCTGAACTCCGAAATAAAGTTCAGGCAAGATGCATGCAACCACATTGGTCGATAGAAAGAAAAGCAGGAAACTGTATTCCTAGCACGGCCCGGCCCACCTGTGCTTAAGCTCCTGTAGGAGTGCAACGGGAATAACTATACCTAGCACGTAAATGAATAAAACAAAACAAAACAAAAACGCCCGCAAGATAATGAAACAAGAATCACCACATCATCGAGAGATCCATTGCGTATTTTTTTTTTTTTTGTTTGCATCAGATTTTAATTGCGTATGCAGCTATCTAGCTATGACACAATATCAATGAAAGGTACAGAATAGATGATTCAACGTAAAGGAAGAGCACTCATGCCTCAGATTTCATTTGCAAGTACCACTGCGAAGTTATGGTGGCTTTTTCTTCACCCCAAGTCAACCCTCATCCGTGAATACCCACCCAGGGGAACGTCTCAAAAACCCTGAGTTATCCAGACATGCCTTCATCATCTTTCAACTTTTCTCCGCGCGATATGTGATCTGAGGTGTCTCTTTCCCAAGTGGAGTAGGTGCCCAGGCTACTCAAATTATACCAGAGAACATCACCAGGAGGCGGACCACAACACCTTCCATCGTTGGCTTGTTTTTATAGTGTCAGCTGCACTCTCACAAGCGAAGTCTTGGCGCGCACAAAGCTCAATTCGTAAAACTGCTAGCCAAAATTCGGAATTTCACTCCCTTCAAGGTTATATCCTTCCTTTGCATCATCTTGTAAACTTGTCCTGATCCCTCTCACGTATCCATTGCGTATGCGTACACGTGTAAGTTACCAACCGACAGAAATTATGATATTTGCATGATTTTGTTTTACGTTCAGGTAGATTGGGGGGTCTTCTGGTGATCAGGACATACCCAAACCAGGATGATGTCGCCACACTGGGTCAGCGGCGCGTGTTCCTTTTAAGATCTAAATTCAAGCCATTGGGATGGATTCATGTCTGTCACAGTATAAGCATAGGCACTTGAGCAATCTTATGGTCAGAGGTAGTTTATTTTCAATCCATGGTGAACTACGGATTGAAGAGGATAATAACAGTTACTTTATACATGATTATTATCCAGGCCAATGACACAGTTTTCTATTCGTATATACGTATCCCTTCTCGTGCCCTATTCTTGGAGGTGTTTGCCAAATTGTGAGACCCTGCTTCCAAGAATAGTCCCTGCCTAGTTTCATGCTAAGCCTGCGTTAGACAGCGCAGGCTACAGTCAATTACCGGCTTACAAGCCGTCACAATATCTGTAGATACAGTGACTCCTACCTCCAGATATATTCAGTTAATGCAATGAACTGAATATCTCTGAAGGAGAGACCTCTTAGATAAGTCACACCAATACTATAGTTCAATGTATTAAATAAAAACATTATCATTTTGAAAAATCAGCCCCCATCAATTTTAACCCCGTGAAGTTGAAGTCTTATCCTGTCAGTGACTGAGAGTAATCCTATCAAGGATTCTCAAAGTAAAAAGTCCCATAGGGTCCCGAAAGCCGGAGATGACGCGTCAAAAAGTACCCAAGATACTGACACAGCCTTACAAAGGTTCAAGCACGCAATTGAAGGCGATGAGCTTTCAACCAGAGCATACATGAAGATTATTAATGAGGAAATATGCGTTATCGACGGACTTCGCGACGCGAAAGCTCAACCAACCTACAAATCTAGTGATAAGAGTCCAACGATAGTTAAGATCCTACAGGAAATCCAATCCGTCAAAGCTTCAATTTTACTGACAAAGGTCTTAGCTCCTACATGAGGACGTTCC